ACACACTTAGAAAAATCAAACGCCTCTAACATGCTTCACGAAAAACACTGCGCTCGTCAAACAACACACCGAAGCCATCATCCAAAGATCGATTCTAGAGGAAACTAAATGACCATGCATTTAGTGTGTGTATCACCCGTCGTCTGCATATAACCGTCATTTAACATCAATACACCTCCTACAGAGGTCACAGCCTGCAAGAAATGAGGACTTCCCCTCGTGGTACTGTAAGGACTTCCCCGTGTTTGGTGCTGTCACCTGGTGAAATCCCAGCACTCCCTCCCCCTCCCCTCGCGGCAAGCTCTGCCAAAGTCCAGCGCCCCTGCCCTCTCCCCCGTTCAACAAACCCTCCTCCCATGAGCCCACAGCCCTCCCACCCCACTGGTGAGTGGTGCCATCTGGCGAAACAGCCTCCTCCCCCTCCCCTCCCCTCGAGACACTCCCCTCCATCCCCTTCTCTCCCATACCACAGGGCATATCATAGCAGGGGCAACCCTCCAGAGCTTTCCACCTCCTCCTCCCCCTCACACGGCACACCTCACACGAATCCTGCTTCCTTCTTCTACTTTCCTCGTGCAGCGACCTTTCCAACCAGTCCACGTTACTCCCTCCCCCGTCCCACCCAAGGTGAGCACCTCCCACTAACCCACCTCCCTTACTCCCCTTCCCGCGGGTCCCTGTCCCTCCCCGAGTACCCTCAGCCCACTCCCCTCCCCCTCCTCCCACCGAGCCCACCGTGGCGCGCTCCGGTCAGCTGGGCGCGTGGCGCACGTGGAAGTTGACCACGTACTCGGCGTTCGTGCGCTGCACGCTGATGGCGAACGGGTCGGTCGGGTGGAATATGAACGCCACCAGCCGCTGGGGGGAGGCGGCGCCGGCCGGCGGCTGCGGCCGACCGCTTACACCGGCGCGGATTCGGAACCGCAGCAGGCCAGAGTCGCGAGCGTAAAACCTGGGAACGGCGCGGGCGGGGGGGGGGAGGTCAGAGGGTGGTCCTAGACTTATATCCCATAAATACCTCGCAGAATGGAACACCTAAATAACCGAATATTTAGCATGAGGCTCTACGAATTGGAAAGAAAATAAGCATACCAACATTGAATAAAAACACACAAAGACGCATTCTACGAAATTTAATTATGAAATAAAATGGTTCAAAAAGTATGTCCATTCGTGCCACATCAGGTTCATGTCATTTTTTAAATTGACCGGCGACAAAAAAATCAACACAACTTTTGAGTTTTGATACGACCACAATAATCCCATGTTTCCTTCTACATCATTTGCCTCATAGCTCGCTCCACTGCGGTACCCGGCCCGTACTCCCCCCTCCCCCCGCCGCCCGGCCTACCTGATGGGCTGCTCTCCGCACGGTTTGGGCCGCTCCATGGCCGACACCCACTTCTCGTCGTAGCTGAACAGCTGCATGTCCAGGTACGGACTGGACGAGTACGACTGGCCAGAGATGGGCAGCTGGACCAGCAGTCGCCGCGTGGCCTCCAGCTGACTGCCGTGGCGGGCCGACTCGATCGTGTGTCGGAACCGAGCCTGCACGTGCCTGAAAACGGGAGGGGGTTAGAGTTTTTTTTTTGGCGAGCCAGTAATTCGATACTGAGCCTGTACGTGCCTGGAAAGGGGAAGGACTAGTAGGTATAATGTGCTGTTTCCTCGTTACTTCTTTTTTGTGGGTTTAACTCAACAAGAATAACACTGCAGTACATATGAAATTGAACCTGCAGCAGTTATGAAACTGCAATGCTTATGAAGGAGACCATTCAACACGTAATCAATCTGCAACATGGTAATCATTTGCATTTACGAAAATTGTCAAACAAAGTAAAACGGAGCTCCCAGCTACCGCTCCTAGACGCCGGTGCCCCGTTCCCGCCTCGTCTCCCACCTGGCGTAGATGTTGTTGGACGGTGAGCACGTGTAGCGGCTGTCCACCGAGAGGCGCGCGTTGCGGAAGTTGTCGCAAAAGTTCTCGTACAGGTAGAGCAGCTGCTGAGAGGTGTTCTCGTAGACGGCCAGCACGCGGCTCGTGTCCATGTTGTACACCACGAACACGGAAGGCTGCTGGTTGTGCTCCACGCGAAACGTCACCACCTGAAACACACGCGGCCAATAAGCAATTTTCGGAGCTGTAGAGCTGTAGCATAGGATGTTTCCTTTACTTTTAACGACACTTATTCAATTACTTTAGCACAACTGGGTCATGCTAAGCTACAGCGTTAGGCACGCTCTACATTCTTCTTTCTTTATATTATCATGCATTCTCTCGAGAGATATGTTAACTCAAACCAACATGTCCATCGTCCATCTCACCGCACCTCTTCGCTGGCGTATCGGATCAGCAGGTGGTGCGAGTCGAGCAGCTGCATCTTCCACATCCTCAGCGAGCGGAAGCGGTTGAAGTAGAGGTAGAAGCGTCGCAGCTCGTACGGTGAACCCTCCTGCTCGCTGATCCGCACGGCTCGGTGGTACAGGAACACCAGCAGACGGTGCTTCAGACCGCAGATGAACTTCTCGCTGCACGTCGAACACATCAAGTCACGAGACGCATGGGTGGTAAGTGTTACGGATATACTGAAAGGATATGGTGGAAAATGAGTGCAGAACATATGATTTCGTAAGCTGATATCCTAAATCGTTCAGAAATGGCAAAACAAGAAGTGAAAACCAAGCGAATCTATCAAGTATTTCCCGATCAAACTTAACTTTCCAAGTTGTAATTCCCAGCACACCCGATAGATCTTCACAGCTTTCCAGTGATGGAAGATAAGGCAAGGGAAGCTCTTTTCAGCACTTCTCACCTTCCGGGCGGCCGGATGTCGGCCGTCGGCGCCGTCGACTGGTAGAAGAGCTCGTCGTCGTCGAAGCAGAAGCGTCCGACGGTGCGGATGGGTATGATGGAGCCGCCCTCGGTCACGTTGTAGATGTGGATCGTCTGGTGCTGCACGGAAAGCACCGCCAGCGTGTCGCCGTACAGGTACAGACCCTGGTTGTGAGACGTGAAGATCTTGTCGCGTTTGAAGTGGATCGTGTCTCGCAGCTCGCCGCGGCCAATGTCCACCACGAGGAGGGAGTAGTTCTCGAGGGGTGTCCGCGCACCGGGCGCTACCCACTCGTTGGTGCGAGACGACGACATGGCCGTCTCCTGCTCGTGCGCGTCCGTCACCATCGCCGAGCCGACGATCACGTGCACACCGTCATCGGTGAACAGCGAGCACTCGCGGTTCAGGTTCTCGCCCTGCGGCGCCACGCGCACACTCCGCAGCAGCGTGAAGAAGCTGGCAAACAGCAGGCGACGCGCGGTCTCCGCCTGCGGGTCCGAGTTGGCCAGCAGGTCCCCGGAGCGGCCGGCCAGCAGCGCGGCCGCCGCCGACGCGCCGTTGTACCGGTACACCTCCACGCTCTGCTGGTCACCCGATATGGCGATGATGTGCCGGCCGTCCGGCGTGAACTTGCGCAGCGTGCAGGCCGGCTTCTCCACGGCCTGCACTGTGAAGTTGGGGTAGACGTTGAGGTAGAAGGTGCGGTGGCAGCGGTATGGGCGCCGCGGACGCTGCCCGCCGATCTCGCGCAGAAACAGCTTGGTCGGCAGGTTCTGTGGCTGGAGCCGGCGTGGGCGCAGGAAGTCAGCATCTGAGGTCATGTTTGCTGGTAGAATGACTCTTGTTCAGGGAATGCTGGATCTAGCAGGGAAGACAATGAGTTAGTGCTGATGTGCTGTCAGCTTGCTACATGCTTCACAGCTCAATCAAAACCTTAAAAATCTTGAACGTAAGGTGCTGAAGAAAATCCTGAAAAGTAGATTGGGTATTATTACAAATTTAACAAAACAATGCCCTCCATGACACTAGGCAGTACACAGAACATAGTACATACCCATTGAGCATACTTCACACAAAGGTTTTCCAACTGAGGAGAGGTGCTATACCCAGAGGTGCTTCTTTTTAACAAAACCTTAACAATCCTAACCTTACCTATCCTAACCTGACCTACAACCTACAAACCTACCCTACAATCTACAAACCTACAGTGCCTCTCCTCGATTGGAAAACCTTCGCGTGACGTCTGCTCTACTAATGTTGTAGGTTGAAGGTTGGTAGGTTTAAGTTGATAGGTTATAGGTATGCAGACAGTAGGTTGTTAGGTAATAGATTAGTACCTAGGTAAGGTTAGGTCAGATTAATTGTTTTTTATCTTCACTCTCACTCGGACTTCTACACTTTTACTGGCATTCAATGATTGGGTACATAGGTACTTATCTACTCTAACTCACCTGCAAAGTCAGAAGGTATCTAGTATCTACTCACATTAAAACATGAGTCGGATCAACAAATTTACAATTTTCAATACCTCGCAACTGTTCTCATACAGCCTTCCAACTGTTGCACCCTGTGTAATGTGTTGCACAATCCAAATAAAAATAAGCTTTCCGGTGACAGAATCGAAGACAGAATATAGCAATAAGACCAGAATTCAATGCTACCGGATAGCATTATGACCCTTAAAATCCATAACATAATGAAAATGAAACAGTTGCGCCATTTTACCAGTATTGCTGGAAAGCAATGTGCCACTAAATAAAAAATGCCGAAGTATCATCTACCAAGGAAGGCTATGTAAACAAGTTAAATGCTACAATATAGCCTTGGCTACAGTCTAGGTTAGGTAAATTGCTCGACGAACATACTTGCCGGAGCAGCATTTTTGGTCCGGCTGAATGTCTGACTGCTAGCAGCAGATTTGCGAATATCAATCTGCTGCTAAAAAACAAACATTACCTAATCTGCTGCTAGATTGACAAGACATGGAAATTGGTAACGTCGCTCATTTATTTCTTGGAACAGAAGATAGGCGCAATGTTCCTGTAGTTCTAGTCCCGCTCACTATGCGCACGTGCGAGGAATCCTACCTCACTCGCGGATCTCCATTGGAGCCGAAGCCTTGGGGAAGCCTTATTCACCGGCATTTCAAACAGCAAAACGCTTAGCGGTGGTATCGACCTTTATTTTCATTTTCATCACCTGCAATAGTTCTGGGCCTCTATGTCCGCGCTGGTCTTGCCATCTACGCTAACGCTACGTCTCCAAGGTATTTCTGCACTGTCTGCGCTCGCCAAACGATAACATATGTACAGTTCAGGTCGCTCGGGGCCGTCGGCCGGCGCCGGCTGAGGTGTGATCGGCCGGCCTCAGTGAGTTGTACTGCTGGCACCGCCCGGCCCCGCACCCTGAGATCCGCACAGCGCGGCCACACACACTTACACACAGGCGCGCACGGGCGCACAGCCGGCACATTTGTAACGATAACAGGCGCGCGTGTCCACAGCGCCGCGACGGAGCCACCTGATATGGCGGCCAAAGCGAATCCTGTGACGCACACACCCACATCGCGACATTCCCTCAGTCTCACAGCCTCGTCCAAATCAGCGCTACAGTCATACAAAAATAACGACGCTTCTCACTATCAACGATCGCTACGTCTATGACCCAACCTAAGCGCGTCTGTACTTTTTACTTTACGAATTATGAGAGGGACCAGTGTTCTTGACATGATCTCCACTGCGAAGGTACAGGGTAGGACTCCCGAATCAGCTTTTGATCTAACGAAGACATTGAGAATGATACGCTTAAAAGTAAAACGACCAATGCCATTTCTGGTCGACACTTTGGATCACATGGTTACCTTTCATCACAAAATCAGGAATTATTCCGTCGACGCATCGAAAACGAATTCAAAACAGATGACACAAATCGTGGAATCAGGCCCAGGCCGAACACTTGCCGCTACCTTACGTTTAGCACTCATCACAGCGATCATCAGGTCCAGGCAGAACGTCTTACAGTTCAAAACACGACCGGCACTTTCTTCAGCGCCGGTCCATCACAAAACTAACCAAACCCTCAGAGCAGACTCTGGAAACCGAAAACCAAACCAGCCCGGAAACCCCACACCAGTACCTTCTCCCGGCACGCCTGTCAGTGACCGGGGATCAACGGCTCTACTGTCTAACCCGTAAACGGATACTAACCAAACAGAAAATCCCAGAACATCCACAGAGACGCTTCTACGCAACTAAATACCGACTCGGCCGTCAGCACAAGCAAACGAAGCGATGGGCAAAAGTGCTCGCTGGCACAGGGCTGACGCATATGATCTGGAGGCCCGCGCCAGTAGAGACTACAACACGGATCAACGGTGCAGGCTCAGCCATTCGAGGCGGGGTGTGAGGATGGATGAGATGCTTAAATAAAATGTATATGCATTTGCGGAGAGGTCCGAGTGAATCACTATTGGTGGGCTGGAGTGCGGCACTGGCAGCCACTAACAGGTCGGTAACTGAGGTGCAACTACACATAAAATAACTCAAAAAGGCACAGATAACCGGCTCACAGGTGACCCCCAGCACACAGCGGGAGCGGCGCGCTGGTATACATACGGCGGAGCAGGGCGGGGGGACAGCCCGCTACCTGCGGCTGTCCTGGCCGCCCGCTCTCTGCCGCCGGCTCCCCGCACCGTCACCTACCAGTTCCAGGCGCCCAGCCTTACCCTTACTCCGGCCCGTCCACCGATACTGACCGAGTTCGTGAGGGAACAACCGCACGGCTCATCAAGCAGAGGTCAGGCTCCAGAGTCCACTGCAGTAGTTTCAATACCGGTGGTGTGAGACCGCCGTCACATATTTACTGCAGTGCTGCGCAGACCCCTAACCGATCAGGTGGTTGCCCACCGGACTGGTTCGCTGTCCGGTGGTGGGTGCGTCGGTGTCGCTCCAGCGGCTCGCTCGGCGGCAACATTAACACCACGCCGAGCTGTGACCGCTTATCCTCCCACCGCTGCTCAGTGTCCCACTCTGACGGCACGTCCCGTCAGCCACCACTGTCGGTCTCCGTTTCACCACCCTCCAAACTCACCGCACCACACACTTCACTCACTAACACACGTCCCGTCTGTCCGTCTCCACTCGAACTGTCTTCACACCGGCCTGACGCCGGGCCATCCCCCTCACCCTCGGAGGCCACCACAGCTCACCCCCGGAGGTCAGTGCAGGTACTTGGAGCAGGCGCCGCCGCCGGCCTACGACAGCGAGCCGTGCCGGCGCAGACGGCCGCCCTGGATCTTGGCGATGATGTTGCAGATCTTGAGCGCCGGGCCCAGCTTCAGACCCATGTATTTCATCATCATGTCTGACTTCAGCAGGAGCAACGCCTTGCCGTCAATCTCCTGCCAAGAGCGATCAGAGTTACAACGCACGAAATAAACAGCATTGGGTCATATCAAGACGTGTTTCCCAGTTCCTACCATGGAGAAATAGGACGTCCATGAAGCTCCCATTTAATTGCATAACACACTGTAGCAAACGTTATACTGCCATGATAACTTACAAAGACGATGCAGCAAAATACACTACATCCTCGCGCTGCGTGATAAAACAAGAACATCCCGATCCCGAACTACCCAGTACCCAAGCAACACCTTACTCTGACTCCTCCTCCACGCACGCACACACACACAACGTGGGACTCACATGTCTCTGGAACAGCTCGGCGTACTGGCCCAATGTGACGTCATGCTGCGATATGAAGTGGATGACGTCATCGATGCTCCAGGTGCTGGGGTCGGCGGAGAGCAGGGCGCCGCGCGAGGCCGCCTCGGAGGTGGACGTGGCCGCCTCCTCCTCCTCAGACACAGCTGAGACACGAGGAGATAAAGAGTGAGATGGAGCGCAAAGTAGATTAATCAGAGACGGAAGTCACGTCAGCTATTAGCTCCGGCAATGGGAGTCCACATGTCATGCGATGCAGATAAGTGAACATTCAGGATGTGTCATATAAAACGCGATGTTTTGACAAATTGCACAAGCCCTCTGACTTGCTCATATCCCGTAACCTAGCTTGTACACTGTACAGACGTCTAATTTATCGACTTCTCGTACACATCCAGAAGGACCCCCCCCCCCCCCTATCCATGCACGCTCCATATCTTGTTTCACCCATCATCTCTCCTTCCTTCCCTCCCTCCCTCCCTCCCTCCCCTCTCCCCTCTCACCAGCGGGCGCCGGCTCGCAGACGGTCGTCTCCCGGGCCTTGGCTCGCGGCGGCTCCTCTGGCGGCGTCTCGGGGGTGCTGGAGCGGGGCCGCGAGGCGCGCGAGTCCGAACTGTTGGACGACCAGCGGCGCTTGTTGGCGCGCCGCGGCGCCGGAGGCTCTGCGGACCGGACACAGGCGGATGGTCAGAGGGGGTGGTAATGGATAGAGGAGCGAAGCCCATTGGCCATTGGTCAGCGTCGGTTACATGGGTGGGTCGGAATAGTCTGGAAATGCGCAGCAGGGTGACTATTTGATTTTTTCGTCCGGATTTCTCGGGCTTGATAGTTTGAAATGATAGAAAAGCACGCATTAGAAATATACTTAAGATTAATGATGTTGAAACGCCCCTCAACTCATACACAACATCAAACAATTGTTCAAGCAGCCACCTAGAACACCCTCCCCCCGTCCCGCTCCACCCCCAGTGTCTCACCCTGGGACTGTTCGGGTGAGCGCGTCTGACGCCGGGTGGCGGCGGCCGCGCGGGCCGGCGTCGTGCCGCCCCCGCCGCCCCCAGCCTTCAGCGTGGCCTTGGTGCACTTGCTGCAGCCTCCGCGCAGCGGCTGGGCCGTGAAGAAGTTCTCACAGCACATGAGCTCCTCGACGAGGTTCTCGAGGAAGGCCCAGAGCTGCGTCACCTTCTCCATGGCCGGCAGCCGCACGGTGGGAGGGTTGGCAGACCCGGAGCCGGCTGACAGCGGCGGCAGGGAGAACGGAGTGTCAGACAGGGCTGTTGGGTACAATGCAGATGAACAAATGCTCTAATCAAGGTACAGAGCTGAGCCCTCTGCGGGTCATTTACCAACTCGATATTCGTCACATACAGTCATGGTCTAACAACAGATCCCATCATCACTGGCGTTACATCTCAACTACTAATCTTGTGTCCGTCCCCACCAACAAACGGCACCACAGCCGGTCCCATCCAGTTCAATCGGGCTCACCTGTGATGTGCACCTTGCCGTCGCCGGTCGGTAACAGACCCAGCACCTTGACCGGTCTCTGGGCGGCGTCCACACACGCCTGTACACACTCCCGCAGCACGCGGTTCAGGTTACCCGGCCCGAACCGCTCTGGGAGCTGGGTGACCCGCGAGCCGTCCAGGTACGGGCCGCACGTGCAGCCGTGGTTCACGTACACACACACTGTAGGGACACAGAGCGGTGGCAGGGGGGGGGGGGAGGTCAGAGTGAGGTGAAATGGAGATGGAGGTAAGGTGGCAGTTACGCATGCGATACACCACGACAGGCCTCTTATATCGAGGTAAGGGCTATTAACCAGTCTAACTTTCCTTCTGCGATTAGCAATTGACATAATCCCCCCCCTCTTCCACCCCTACCAGGCTCTTAAAATATATTATTCTTAACATCTTCAAGAAACTACCCAAATCCACACGACTTAGTCGCGCTGGCCGTGACCCCGTACGCCGCTGACCCGCCCGGTACCCCCGTTACACGCCACTGACCTGTGGGGGAGCTAGTCTGCTAATCACTGACCCGCCCGGGACCCCACTGACCCGCCCGGTGCCCCCGTTACACGCCACTGACCTGTGGGTGAGCTCTGCGCCACCCGGGAGTCGGCACAGGACGTGTCCGGCTCTGTGACGGTGATGGCCGGCGGTTTGGACGGCGAGCTGGCCGCGGCCGCCGCCGTGCTGGCCGGGGCCGGGGACGGGGACGCCGCCCCGCTCTCCCTCTCCCCGTTACTCTGGCCGGTGCTGAGCGGTGTGGGCAGGGGCGCGCTGAGTCGCGCGGCCTTGTACCGCGCGCTGACGGCCGCCGCTGGCACACAATGCGGGAACGTTAGTGGGTGTAAGGCCATGGGGGTAAGTCGTGCTTACAACGGCACATGGCGGCAGCTGTGTTTGCATGTGCAGCTTAAGCTCCATCGAAGAAAGCAGATTTCGCGACGGATTGAAACTCCAATGAGCCGATACTGCGACATAAGTTTTGCAATTTTCTCACCACCCGAAATTTTCAGCTACAGCTGTTCAATTCGTTTACCACTCAGCTCCCTTATAGCACACATGCAGCCTTCCATACAAAGACATACAACCAACAGCACAAACAGCGCACCGCTTTTGACCAAACACGCAGCCGTTTATCGCCACCCCAGCCGCCCATCTCCCCACTTCCTCTTACTTTTCTGTCCGGGCGGCTGGAGGGGGTGTCCGCTGCGGTTGCACCAGCCGACGGGGAATATATCGCGCGAGTCGTACCGGCACCAGTAGTCGAACGCGCCGCGCCACCCGTCAAACGTGATGTGGATCATCTCGCCCGTCACCGCGCCTAGGGAACGACAGAGGCGGAGGTTAGAGGTGGGTGGTGAGGCGAACAGGCGCCTGGGGACAATCACGGGGAGCGCAGTGAGACTAGGTGGTGTGGTAGGTCACTGCGCCAGTTTTGAAGGACATTGGTTGGAGTCTGTAAAGTCGTCGTTGCGCCTGACAATGGGAAGTCGGAATAGGCAAGATACACTTACTTGCCTTCTTCAGTTGCGTAGTTGAGCTAGGATGACAAGTAATACAGTCAGCAAGCAAAAGTACAATCCATAGTGGCACGTCAATTCAATGAATCTGACAACAAATCCACGATCACAATGGGCAACAAAGTGTTGTTTTCCGACATACCGACGGTGCCCGCGCAGATGAGCTGCGGATTCTTCTTGTCGACGGCCTCCAGTTTCATGCCGACCTCGAAGTAGTTTCTGCTCGGGGTGGGCGGCTCCTTTTTGAAGGCCTTCTCGGGCGCCATCTCTGCGCCGTTGAGCGTCTTGAGCAGGAACATGGGCCACGAGGAGGCGTTCATACGGAACCCTGGCCAGAAAGAGGAGAGGGGCGGTTAAAATGGGTGACAGAACAGAAAGAAGGCATTATTGACTACGTTACCATGGCACAAGTTTAGCCGAGTTCGCAAAATAGTTTTTTTCCATCATATCATTTAAACATAATTTAAAAATGTAAATACAGGATTATGTGCTAGCTAAAGTCATATATACGCTCATTTTTTGCATAAGGTGAATTATAGTATCCGAGAAAAACGCACATGAAATTTCGTTAAATTGATTTAGACGCACCATGGAAACGTAATGATTATTTTTGGACGGTGGCAATAAGAAGGTCCAGGCACGTGATACAGCGCACCACAAATTTTCAGCTCGAGTGATGCTATCGGGAAATGACTGCGGAAGCTATTTGTCAAAAGGTCAAATAGCCTCAAATGTCAAATGCCAAAATGTTTTTGTTGCAGGCTGATTCCGCAGCTAATAATGAACGAAAAATGCTAATTTTGCACCGCAAATGAATTATTCAACTAACAGCTATTTCCGGCGGTGTGTGAGTGGTTGTTTCCGGCTAGCCGTGGCTAGCTGTCACCATTCCTACACCGTGACTGTCAGTGAGACTGACACATGTCGAGCTCGTCATCGCTGACGATGCCTAATGCAACGTCATACACATTCGTCGCAATACGCATGACTATGCCTTCTATTATAAGACGTCCAGAGTAACAATTACAGCTAGGATAACTACAGCTTGACTCAACATCCAAGTTCCAACACTACTCAAATGCCCCTGACCCTCTCTGCTCCGTCCTTACCGCCCGGCCACTCGACTCACCGAGCGGCGGCTGGAGCATGCCGTCGTTCTTCTCGCAGTGGCCGATCGGGTGGATCTCGTTCGAGTCGACCAGCCGCCAGAAGTCGTTCTTGTTGTCGCCGCCGTCCAGCCGCAGTCTCAGCCGCGGCCCCAGCACGCCCACCACGGTGGCGATGCAGGTCGAGGTCACGTTGCGCGGGTCGAGCGCCTCCAGCTTCATGTCGGGCTGGAACTCGTTGGCGGGCGGCGTGTGGCGCTGCTTGAAGCACGCCTGCGGCGCCGGCTTACTCTCGGTCTCTCGCAGGTACTCTTCCCAGTCGAACTGCTGGATCGCCTCGGCGATCGCCATCGACGCCATCGACGGACGGTGACCTGACGGGAGGGGGAGGGGGAGGTCAGCACCGTGGATACTCTGGGACGGGGCGCATAGACTAAGCAGCGGGTGGTGCAACGAATGCCTGGTCGCCTAGGTATTTGGGTAATAAAAAAGCATTAACGTTGAAGAAAGAAACTAATGCAGGCATGCTTATTCTTCGTAAAAAAGCGATGGTCTGGAACTTGAAAGGTCAGAGTCCATATACACCTACACAAAAAACGGAGATCAGGTAAAGAGCCCCGAAATACCGCATTCCACAGCTCTATACAGCGAACAATATTTGACTTCTTGCGAAGAAAACATTCTTCCTTTTTAAATTGTTCAATGCAAGATAACTCCAGACCAGACAAGGTTATTGCCCTATTGTTTCCCAGTCAAAACTTATCGACCACATTCCATGGTAGAAGGTACAATAGATTATTTGATCAGGAAATACCTAGAGCATCGACGGAAATACTGATATAGCTGCCAGTTCCAAAAGTCAGAAAACAACGCCTAACACTTAAAAGGTGATCGTTTTAATAAGCTGCCTTTCTAACCTCAAAGGTTCAGCATCATACGTATAGGAGTTCGGCTCATATAATAAGAAACCTACGCCCGAATTGAGTTACCTATCAATATGTGAATATAAACATAGCAACGCCGAACAGCGATCCCAAACGATATCAACACGTATGTTTAGAGATAGGGAATCTAAAATAGGTATGTAATTTAACCCGCGCCCCGTAGGGGGGGGGGGGCCGAAACGGCCCCCCCTGTCCTTTTTGGTCGATATCTCCTAAACGGCTGGAGATATCGCCACCAAACTTTCAGGACCCCTCCGGGCATCAATTTTACACATTGTGACCAAAAATTTTTCCAGAGGCTATGATAGGTTGGCCACAAATGACGTCAGAGTGACGTCATGTTCTGTCATTTTCGACCGAAAAAAGACCTTCGCGAGAAGACCTGTCAGGACTACAGCTTTGAAGATACAGAAAAATGATCAAGACATAAAAGGTGTAGAATTGACAGGGCTACAAAACTGCTATCTCGAATTTTTGAAATTTTTGAGTTTTGACCCCCAAAAATCAAAAAAGCATTTTTTTTGGATATATTCGTCAAAAAATCCAAAAAGTTTTTTGAATTTCGAAAAAACCGGAATATATGTGATAGTGCCTACCGTCTTCTATCTACATACCAAATTTCAGATCGATACCTCGTTTTTTGGCCAAGTTATAGCGAAAAAACTGTTCAAAAATGATGACGTCAAATTTTCAAACTCAATTTTTGGCAATTCTAGAACTCGTAGAGCAAAACGAAGACCACCATTAGACTCCCCGTGACGAGCTGCATCGAATCGATACCCATTTTATGCAAAAATATCAACTTTGAAATTTGACCTAATTTGACCTGACCTTGACCTGACCTTCACAAAAACGTGACCTAGGCTGGCCCCAAAGGCTGCCTAACCCACATAATCGCATTTGTCATGTAAAATGGACCATAAAACATGTATCACACGACACATTCATATTGTGACCCCGGTGACCTGACCTCGCTGTGACCTGACCTGGTATCAGTGACCTCAGATAGCAAGGTATGTGTTTGACGAACAATATACCATCGATGGTTTTCAATAAATTACCAATTTACTTGCTTTCACAGCACATTTCTTGAATTGCCTGTGAACGGTGAAAATCTGACCTTTGACCTGACCTGTGACGTCATCGGTTTGACCTAGGTCAATGAAATTTGGTCACAAGGTAGTTCCCGGGTGGGGCTATCGAACGCCGTTTGAATTTTGAAAATCGGCCGGTAACTTTCCGAGATCTTAGGGGGGGGCCGAAACGGCCCCCCCCCCCCCCCTACGGGTGGTAGGGTCCGCCGGTAGCCCTACGGGGCGCGGGTTAATGAGCGGATCTATAACAATCCGCAAGCTTCCCGCTTCGCCGATACATTCCGAAGCGAACAATCCATACGCTGATGCCTGAGGCGACCAATCAGTGGCCGCTACTCGCTGTGAGCGTCCACGGCCGCGGGGGCAACACGTGACCCAGACGGGGTCACCGCGGAGACCGACCAGCCAGCCAGCCGCGAGGGAGGAGACCGCAGAACACGTCAGGTAAGCAGACATTGGGTAATATGCTCCAATTAACCAGCTATGGGCTCCTAAAACGGGTGCACTTGTTGACAAGTGTGATAACAATATCGCTGATATTCATCAAGCGCTTTGTGAGCAGTATAACGAGGCTGTAGCGATAAGAGTTGATTGATTTGATACCAGCCTGTTATCGGAGGGTTTTGCCAGCATATGAGCGGGACCGCGAGGAAATGTCGGCTAATGACATCACAAAGGCCCATCGACTCAGCCGCGGCGCTATCACAACAACACTGGTGACAACGGTAAATAAATAAAACAAGCGTGGCTCAATAGGCAAATGAGAACGGTACGCAGGGTTCCAGATAGGCAGATATGACTTGTCTAACATACCCTGTCTCACCGATTTTTGCCGCCATCTTCAGTATCTCGGAGGTCCACCCTTTGTGTCCCCGTTCCCCGACGCGTCTCACACGTAGCCTCACACCCCGCGCCATGAGTGTTCGTACCGAGCGGCACCGCTGCACGGCCGCAGCGCCGGCACCACTGGCCACCCGTCGGCACCGTCACAGCCGAGTGGCGTTCGCGCTCCCCGCTGCGGGAGCCCGGCCTCCCCACCCCTCTCCCGCCTCCCCTACAGGCAGCACCTCGCACCGGGGCGTGCACAGCGAGCGACCCCACCGGCCACGGCAGTCCGACACACACTCTGTGACCGAGCCGCACCGCCGCGGCCCCGGCGGTATCACGCACAGGCCGGCATTAGCCGCCCGGGCTGCACGTAAGCCGGAAGCTTGCAGCGACACCAGTGGCCGCTGGCTGTTCTGTTGTACGGGAAGGGTGGAAAGAGGGAGCGGGAGAGGGGGAAGGTCAAGGCCCGCCGGTGCATGGAATATAATGGAAAGTCCAGGCCGTTGTGCTGAATACTGACCGAACTTACGTCCATGTGCAGAAAAAGGTTGTTGGCGAGCCATAATTCTAAGGAACGAAAAGGTTGATCAGTTCGCCAACAACACTGGACCATGCACGCCAGAAAAAATACCCGAATGACGAAAATACACTTCGAAATATGGCATCGAAAGATGTTCATTTTAAGCCACCTTCGACTTTATCCGAGGATCGCGAGATAAGCTACTCATGGGAAGATTCTTACCCTACCGGTTGCACATAACATGAACGGATATCAGTTATAGTGGATGCCTGTGTTTAGTGCAGTGAAGTGAAGTGCTGACTGCTATCATTTATCGATCCGCAGCCATTACCGCGTGCCCCCGATGTCTCGCCCCGCCCCCTCCCCCCGCCCGGCCGGCCGCCGCCACCCACCTCGTTTGTGTGTGGTACCGTTGCCGGTTCCGGCGGTCAGTGTGGAGGAGGGTGACGCCGCCTGGTGCCGGGCCCGGCAGTCGGCCGAGCAGAACAGCAGAGAGCGGCCGGCGTCCGTCTGTTCGCGCACCGGCTCACCGCGCACCACGTCATCGCAGTGGACACAGGCGCTCTGTAACACACGCAGGTGCTCCGTTACACACACAGAGACGCAGTGGACAAAGGCAATCTGTAACACACGATATATCATCACAGTGGGCACAGGCACTCTAAAATACATTAACAATGTCACAGTGAGCACTGGCACTCTAAAACACACAATGCATCTTCACCGTGGACACAGGTGTTCTGTTACATACAGACACATACACACACACAGATGCTGTGTAACACAGACACAGAATATACAGTAGTGCACAGTGGACACTGCTTCACCATGCCGGTCCTCTGAAGCACACAATTGTCAAGCAATTGTATGGGCAATTCCTAACAAATGGAATACTAAGTACAGTTACTTTACAAATGCTTCCAAGTGCCATGGCCACCTTTCATACAATGCCATTGCGGACAATATACTGGAAGATTACCAGTTAAGAAGTAGCTTGTACCTAAGCACTTATAAGGCATAAGGAATGGCATATTTACTCATAACCAACCTTGTTATAAGCCTTCCTGTATTCAGACAAACATAGCTCTGAACAAAAGTCCTTCTTGCTTGTCTGAGTGGGAAGAACATACTTGAGTGATGTCTTGGTCTCTAGACACCAGTTGCAGACCTTATTCTTAGCTCCTCTAGACACCCCTGAAATAACAACACAATGACAGTGATATTGGTTACCTATACTGAGTTTTTTTTTGCATTAAATACTTCATGTTTTTAGGAAAATAATGATTTTTTAGAAAAACAATAGCAAAACCACCTCATATTACTCAGGTCGCAAATGTCACACACTTGCAATGTAACTGGGTATTGCTGAACTTCAACTTGGGAGTCAATGAGATATGGTAACAAGTCTACCTGAGTTAAATTTAGAACTCTAAACTTAATAAATACCTAATAACACATACCTTTCACAGGTAACATGCTGAATTTTTAAGTCTGAAACAAAAAAAAAATGATGTTAGGTTAGCATGTCAACGTCTAAGAAAGCACTCTGAGGCATCATCATTATAATCTAAGACCTAAACAAGTTATATAGGTAAGAATATATGGGCAACTAGATATACTTACACATGAATGAAATATTAAATCAATACAACTTTTCTAACAAATAATAAAATACACATCAATAAAGCAATTGGAAAACAATTTTTTAACAATTGTTCTCCTTGTCCCATAAAATAAAAAATTCAGCAATCATTGGAAAACATTGAGAAAACATAGACATTAATAACATATTGATGAAAATATTACGCATCATTCTCGAATCATGTCAGGCAAGTTCAAGTTACAATCTTTTTGTGAAAAGTGATAATGTGAACACAGATATATTCGCTTTTCACAAACATCAAACTGTCATAATACAATGTTTTTACTCATGAATAGGCTATCATTCAGTGTGTTGTGGTGGCAACTAAAAAATCATGAGAAGTGACAAGAGTTAGGGCTCAAAAGCATAGCTCAACTATTTATCTAAATTATCAATTATTTGATTCGCTAAAAAAACGGTATAGGTAGGTTACCTACCTCGGGCTCTGCGCATATGCTTCACACTTATTCAAATGCAAATGGCCAGAAAACCACTCAGGGAATAAAAGGCAGCATTACTCAGTCTTGAATCAGCTCTGAATCATCGACTATTCACAAAACTGATTATTAATTCGAGATTCCGTGCCAACCTATTCCATAAAATAATCGAAAAGACGCCCCAAACAGCGCAACATCTGCGCCATGCAATGCCGCATTCCGCCTAAACTTCAATAATTGTATTCTAAACGCATACCATTTTGTGCATAACAGCAAAAACTGTCCAATCAAAATCGAGAAAGCAAAGCATTTACCAATTAGAGGAAAAGTTTTGTGATCTCATTTTTCAGTGAGTACTTTACGAACACCCAGTTTTTTTCTCACAGTAATTCGGCCGCTTGCACACTGCGCGGTCGTGGAGCTACGGGTTTATATAGCCTTGGAGCTACGTCTTACTTTTTTTCAATATTATTATACTTTTTTATTGCAGTAGTTGAAGGATGACTTAAAGTAATTCAATAGGGCCAAAACAATTTGAGGTAATTTTCAGTTTTCAGGATGCAAGAACGAACAATAGGAGCTTACTTCAACTTTGGGCTATATATATAAGCTACAAGTTCAATCGGTGTCGGGATTCCGTGGCGATCGGACGTGCGCATCGAGCTCCTCCTTGCCTACCAGCCCACCAGCTGATAGGCTCCAGGATCCGACGTGATTGGTCAAGGCCAAATTCCATTCCTTTTTCCAACATTCTTTTGGGAGAATTGTGCAAGTTAACCATAAAATCTCTCGCCTGGACGTCTAAAGATTAACTTCGACAAGGAAATCGAGTGGAAAATTCGAAACATGCCTCTGGATCGGTCGCCTCCGCTTTCCCGCCGAAACCAAACGGCGGCGTCAGCTGATCGCGGCGTCGGAAAACCAACGGCCAACGATAATGTCGGCGGCGTTCGTGGTGACCTTGGCGGCAACGGCGTCGGTGAGGCCGATGTTGACGACGAGATAAGTGCCAGTGGAACTGGAATCTTCGACACAGGTATGGATAAGTCCGATAAGTCTACTTCCAAACAAAATCAGGTTGGTAAACTTGACCAAAGTGTGTACAGAGCGTTTGGGCAGGAATCCGTGGGCTCACTCTCCCGCTCCTCGAGCGATACAAGCAGCGCCGAGGCGATCTGCCCGGGGGGACCCGGTAAGGTATGTGGCAATCCAGTGAAAGATGGGGAACCCGGAATTTGTTGTGACAGATGCCATGGGTGGTTTCATCCGGGCTGCCAAGGGACGCCCAAAGCAGCAGTCAGAGCACTGGATAGATTCCAGAGTCTCGCATGGCTGTGCGTGAAGTGTAAATCGGACCTCAAAAGCAAAAAAGGGAAGGATCCCTCGTCATCGGAAACCGTAGAAAAAAGGCTTCAACAACTAGAGCAGGCAGTGAAGAAAAATGCTGAGCTCTTGGCTGACTCAATCAAGACCCAAAAGCAAACGGTTCAAGACCACGTATCCCTCATAGAGAAATCAGTGAAATCCCTTGAGATGCAGACGTCAAAACAATCACAGATGCTTGAACTAACTGCTCAGCAACACAAGGCATCATACGCTGAGGCGGTAAAGAGCACATGCTCAGAGGTCGCTCATGTTGTAAAAACCCAGCTTGCGCAGCTACCTAAACCAAACCAAAATGAGCAGAGAACCACTACTTCTACCACTGCTGAGCTGTCTAGAGTTCTTGACAACCACCTGGACAAGGAAAGGAGGAAGGCCAACATAGTCATTCATAACCTACCCGAACAAGGAGAGGGCACTCTGCACGAGAGATCAACACGTGACCAGTCTGCAGTCACATCCTTGATCAGGGAGGTGATGAAAATAAACATCACAGCATCAAAGTCATTCCGAGTTGGAAAGGCCATTCCTGGGAAACCAAGGCTTCTTATTGTCACCCTGGACAACCCAGCTTGTAGGCAGGATGTGCTGAAAGGTGCTCCCCAACTGCGCCACTCTGCACAGCACGGCAACATTTACATCACACCTGACCTGACCCAACAGGAACGAGAGGCAAACAGAAAGCTGAGGGAAGAGCTGGCATCCAGACGGAGATCTGGTGAGGACAACCTGAGAATCAAGGGGGGAAAGATAATCTGTGTCAATCAGGAAACAAGTAACGATGCCTCCAGCACGAGCAGGAACCCTGGTGGCACCACTGTGCCTTCTCAAACTCGTCAGGCTGGAAACATCGCCCCTGGCGCGCCTGTACCTGCCCAGACAACCGCTGTGCCTCCAGCTGTTGGCATGGCATCCGCCAGCCACGAGGGCAGTGGCACAGCACAGAAACCTGGTGCAGTGGATGGCAATGGTGGCACACCTTTGCAAACCCCAGCACCTAGCTCAGAAGCCCACCCAGCAAATGGTTTGTGACTAAGCCACCCAACCTCTCGCAACAAGAAGAATCTCATGGTTTTATACACAAATGCTGACCAGTTTATTAACAAACGAGATGAACTGTGCCTGCTGATTTGCGGTGATGAGCCTGACGTTATCCTCATCTCTGAGGTAATTCCCAAAGCCCAGAGAAACCCCATTGCTCCTGCACTGTTAAATATCCCAGGTTATGTAATGCATTCCAGTTTCGATCTATCCACCCCAAACCTAGGCCAGAGTGGAACTAGAGGCGTATGCATTTACACGGCAATACACCTGAAGGTAACAGAGGTTCATCTAGAAAAATCATCTGTGGAGAACACCTGGGTAAGATTGTGCCTCGCAGGAAGTGATAGCCTTCTGGTGGGCTGTGTCTACCGTAGCCCATCTGGTGCAATGCAGGAAAGCACAAAGCAACTTGGAGAACTCTTCCAGAAGGCCTGCTCACTGCATGCTTCACACCTGATCATTGTTGGCGATTTCAACTTCCCCCACATTGACTGGGAGTCTGAAACATCATCTGCACCTGCATCTCATTGCTCACACCTGTTCTTAGATATGGTACATGACCGTCTTCTCTCTCAGCACATCAAGCGCCCGACTCGATACCGATCGGGCGAGACACCGTCAGTGCTGGACCTGATCTTTACCAACGAGGAGGGCATGGTGAAAGACATGCAGTACCAATCTCCACTAGGAAACAGTGACCATGTGGTCATTCGGTTTACTCTCTCCTGCTACACTGAAGCTTCCGCCTCACTCCCCGAGTATCACACCATAACTGACTACGAACACCTCTCCACCGCCCTTGGTGAACAAAACTGGTCCGATATGCACAGCATGAACCTGGATGAGGCATACCAGACGTTCAAAGCGCGGCTCTCGGAGGCCCTGACCGAAAGCTCCAGGAAGAGGAGATCGCGTCATAAGAAAAACATCTACATGAACTGCAGAGCCATGCAACTGAGGAAGAAAAAGAAGTCGCTCTGGACTACATACCGATACACGCTTGACCCCATCGACTACGCCAGGTTCACACGCTGCAAAAATGAACTCAGGAAGCTCACCAGAACTCTACGCAAGGAATACGAGTCCAAACTAGCTGGCAATCTGAAACAGAACCCAAAGGCCTTTTGGAGGTATGCCAACACGAGGCTTCGCACCAGGAGCAGAGTTGACAACCTGCTAAACGAACGGGGAGACCTGACATCATGTGACCAAGACAAAGCTGACATGTTGGGCAAGTACTTCAGCAGCATCTTTACCCATGAAGATACTGAAGCACCGGATACGGACCTTGATTGGCAGGGCCCCTTCCTCGATAATGTTGAAGTATCTCCCCAGAAAGTGGAAGGAAAGCTGCTGTCCCTCAAGACAACCAGCGCGCCGGGGCCTGACGCGATACACCCCCGAACCCTTCGCGAGTCAGCACTGGCCCTCTCCTCCCCTCTGAGCATACTGTTCCGCAAGTCCTTGGACACTGGGTCGCTTCCCTCGGACTGGAGGACAGGCGAGATCACCCCGATCTTCAAGAAGGGTGACCGCCAACGCCCCTCGAGCTATCGTCCAATCACTCTGACTGCCATCCCTGTCAAAGTCCTCGAATCAATTGTCCGAGACGCCCTCCTCCAACATTTCCGCGAAAACGGTCTGCTCTCCAGCGCCCAGCACGGCTTCCTCCCAAAGAGGTCGTGTACGACACAACTGATGGAGGCAATCGAGGACTGGAGCACCGCCATCGAAAACGGAGACAACATCGACATCATCTACCTGGACTTCGCCAAGGCGTTCGACTCTGTGCCGCACCAACGTTTGATCCGCAAGCTGTTTGCATACGGCGTCCGGGGCCCGCTTCTCAACTGGATCGCAGCCTTTCTGATCGATCGCCGACAGAGGGTTGTGGTCCACGGATGCAAGTCCTCATGGGCCCCTGTGACCAGTGGTATTCCACAGGGATCGGTTCTCGGACCTGTACTGTTCACAATATTTGTCAACGATCTTCCCTCGGAGGTCACTGGTTCGGTCAAACTGTTCGCCGACGACACGAAACTATACCGCCGCGTCCTGGGTAGCAGCAATGACCTCCAGACTGACATCGATGCGCTCGTCCGCTGGTCTGAGAAGTGGCTGCTCCCTTTCAATGCCCAAAAGTGCAAGGCGATGCACCTCGGCCACCGGAACCCGGAACACGCGTACTATTTGAACGGCATCCTGATCCAGAACGCTGAAGAGGAGAAAGACCTCGGCATCGAAATTGACAACCAACTCAGTTTTCACAAGCAGACCGCGTCAGCCGTCGCTAAAGCCTCACAGATTCTGGCCGTCGTGAGACGCTCATTCGCCAACATTGACGAACACACGCTGCCGCTTCTCTACAAGACCATGGTTCGGCCCCTCCTAGAATATGGGAACACAATCTGGGGACCTTTTGGGAAAGAGGACCAGAAGAGGCTTGAACGCGTGCAACGTCGTGCAACAAGAATGGTCGCACAAATCAAGCACCTCCCGTACCCTGAACGACTCCGTCGACTGGGACTACCATCACTCTACTACCGGAGGCGCAGAGGCGACATGGTGACCGTATATCAGCTGCTGCACGGAGGGTTGGCCATATCGCCAGAAAGCTTCTTGACCCGGAGCAACTCAGCTCGAACCAGGGGCCACGAGTGGAAGCTCGAGAAACCGAGGGCCACCAAACTCGTGCGCAGAAACGCGTTCAGCTTCAGGGTCATCAACGACTGGAACTCCCTACCAAGTGCGGTGGTCACGGCACAGTCCGTCAACCAGTTCAAGGCCCAGCTGGACAAGCACTGGGGTGGCATCATGTACGACACCCCCTATCCCTGAGAGCCTAGCCTGTATCCCGACACGAGCTCGATGAGAGCGGGATCCCCAGGCCAAGTGGCCTTTTCAATCCCGATCACCACGAAGGTAAGGTAAGGTAAGGTAAGTTCAAGTTGAAGTGGATTGGTAAGAGTGGCATATTATTTTGATTTCAATTCATGCTTTTTTCTTTGAGAAGGTGTCTGCATACCTATGATGCCTTCAAGATTTGTTAAGTCTTTCAGCCTTTGGTAGTGATAAAGTTGTTCTTGATCAATTATCATTCCGAACGGATCTCGGATCAGGAAGTAACAAATCATGGCTTGTATTCTGTTATGAATTGTAAGCTTTTTTAGATTATATGTTTGGATGTAAAGATATTTTTTTCTCACATCACATATTACTCTTATACTTGGGTTCCTTAAATTTGCCTGTCCCCTGGTTTGATGATGCTGGTCTATGCAATCAATTAAGGACTGATTTAAGTCTTGAATCATTGCAGTTTGTAATTAGCTCACCTTTGTAATTGTAATTGTTGCCTCCCTACTTATAAAGCTTTAATTTATTTGCAATATTCCCACAACAATATTACATATTTTACTGCTTTTATTTGTAGAATAGCCTGCACCTACCTGAGTCCTGAAATGACCAGACTGAGGCCAGTTCTTTAACATACCTACCTAACATTAGCATAGGTAACCATTAAGCAGGTAACCTTCACCTTTACCTTAGGATAGACTTGGGCTAGTGCCTAGCTAGGTCTTTTTTTATTCACTAGCACTGAATCTTTTGCTTCATGCAAACTGGGCAGTGAATCTGAAGGAGGAAGGAGCTTTTATTAGGCAATTGTGCTGTTTTCATTTTGCCAGTGCCTGGTTATTCAATTGCATGTAAAGATACAGAGCATATGACAGTTACACAGGTACCTACCCAGTACCCACCAATCTGTTTTTATGAGCATTGAATTGGATGGGATCAATATTTTACTTATTTATATCATAGTGAGTGCCTTTACTTGTGTTTTAATGAAATTTACACCTGCCATAGCTATGCATAATATTTGCCATGAAATAGGAAATGCTACAACTAAAATGCTCTCAAATGTGAATTGCTTGTGTTGCTCCTTGAAAAAGTCACTTACTGAGACTCATAATAAGTTTACAGGGTGTCCGGAAATTGATTAGCCCTTGGATATTTGGTCATTGCTCCCCTGTGCGCCAACGGAACCAGCGCGATCGAAGTAGGACACGGCCTTAGGGCACGCTCAGCTGTTTGCCGACCACGTGACCGGGTCAGGTGGCCTGGTCACGGCCGCGGTGAGGGGTCAGAGGTCAGTTTCCGAAAGGTAGTGCCAGCGCGCGGAGTCGGTATCTGAGATGGTGAAGGAGTACTCTTTGGCTACGCGCCACCGTGCAGTTGGCATGGTGCGCGGCGGCATGACGCAGGCAAGTGTTGCACAGACACTCGGTGTGTCCGTCAGTACCATGAAAATCTGGATGGCTCGAGACCGCCAAGGACAGTCCCTCCGAAACCGGACCAGTCGAGGACGAAAGACCGTCCTGACCCGCGTGGCGAAAATTGTTCTCGCCAAAGCTGCCCTCAAAAGACGCCAATCGACAAGGAAGTTGGCCAAGAAACTGACAGCCAAAGGACATCCGGTGTCTAAGACAACCGTCCACAGTTATTTGACGAAGTGCCTCCACCTGAAGCCGCTCAAGCCTCGTCGTCAGCCGAAGTTGACAGAAGCTCAAAAGCTCAAGCGGCTGGCGTTCGCGCGGGAGCGCATCAGCTGGACAATCGAAGAGTGGCGACGCGTTCTCTTCAGCGACGAGTCGCCATTCGAGCTGTGCCATCCGCCGAGCCGCCAAAACGACCGTGTCTGGGCGCACACCAGCAAAGAAGTGCCCGCCACGGAGACGGTGAAGCATCCCCGAAAAGTGATGGTCTGGGCCATGATGAGCTATCGAGGGCTCTCCGAGCTGCACATCATCCCGCGAGGCCAGACCGTGACGGCGGAATATTATGTTGAATAAGTGCTGAAACAGACGGCATCATCGGCGATGGAGCGGACGACGCAGAACGGGCCGCCAACCAGCGTCAAACTTCTGCCAAGGATGTCAGAGGCAATTTTTCAGCAGGACGGCGCACCAGCTCACAACGCTGCCAGGACTCAGGAGTGGTGCCGGGGCAACCTCCCGGGGTTCTGGAAGAAGGGTGTCTGGCCGGGCAACAGTCCTGATCTGTCGCCCATTGAAAATCTGTGGGCGATCGTGCAGGACGAGCTGGATAAGATGGGGCAGGCCACCAACGAAACGGCGCTGGTGAGAAACCTGCAGAAGGCGTGGTCCAGCATCAGCGCTGAGACGCTGAACAACCTGATGTGCGGGATGCCAGAGCGCATGAGGGAGTGTGTCCGACTTGGCGGAGGATGCATTGGCACATAAATGATGCGCTTCACTTGGTTTGTTTGACAGATAAATGATTAAATACAAGGGCTAATCAATTTCCGGACACCCTGTAAATGCAAATATTTAAATTTTGTGTGAACTAGAAGATAAAACATAATTATGAGCATTATCTGTTTAAAATCAGTGTAGTAATTGTTTAACCTACAATTGGACCGTACTTTACTTCCTGTCAATTATCTGAAAACCTTGATTGTTCAGATTGTTCATTTTTATGTGTTGTTTATGTGTTTCTATGTTATGATTTACTCAACCTTTTAAGCTGTGAGCTCTCAAGAATACCTATCAGCAGTGCAAACCCTATCATTTCAGACAGGATATTTGCACTAATATACAGCTGTAGCTGTTTTAATGAACAATTTAATGAGCTGCTTTAATAACCTATAAGCAACTGTTTTAGACTTAATGTGAAGGTGAATTGAATTATCACAGTGAAGGTGAATTATCACAAAAAGTAGTTAGGCCTGGATGCTCTGATATTATGTGCTTTATATTATTTTTCTAGCAGTCTTATGGATTGCGTGATGCCATGATTTTTTAGGGAAAATTGAATGCCAGGTTCTCTGTATCTTTGAACCCAATCATCCTTTCCATATCACTGCAGTGATTTATTTCACTGTTGCCCTCTCACACGCTGTGGATGTTAACTGTAGCTCCCCTATCCTCCTCCAGGGGCCTCCTTTGGTCGTTCGGCGGCACGGCGGCCGTCTGACGCCGCTGGGCGGTAGGTGGCGCCGGCGCGGCGGTCGCGGCGCACTATGAGCGGCTCACTGTCGACCGGCCGGCGGCGCAAGAAGCGGCGGCAGCGGCAGCGTCCCGCCGGCGGTGAGGAGAACCCGCTGAACCTGTCGCTGCCGCTGGAGGTGGAGGTGCGCGAGTCGGCCTGGTACCCGAGCGGCGAGAGGAGCTCCAAACTGGACGCCGCCGCGGCAGCGGCTGAGGTGAGGGACGGGAACGAATGAAGGGGGAGAGGGTGGTGGGTTCCGTGAGAGTCATTGCTGCTTGGTTACTTATCAACTTATTCTACAGATGAGGTTAGATTTTACTGGACATTGCGGAGAGAAATGTGACTTTTCCGATTCATTGTGACGAGGCTTGTTTCAACTCACCCCTTTGTGCTCAGATTTGCTGTATGCTATAGCAAGCTATTTGTCTGATAGGTATGTCGCCTGTCGGATATCATTGCCATGTTGTTCTGCGCACGGGTAGCTATGTAAGTAAGTATAGCTAGTCACCTTAAAGACAAAGGGCGAGTGTGAGCCATCGATCGAGGAAAGAATGGCTCGGCAAGTCGGCACGCTGCATGTTTGCATCATGCAAACCATATGCACGCGCACGTGCACCGTGTGTGAGCACGTGCGGGCGTGCCGTGCGAGCGGCGCTATATTGCCGAGATCGGTTCCTGCCGTCATACCCGGCCTCTACCGAGCCGACGAACCCGGTCTGTAATGACGCACACAACATCCAGCCATGCGATGGAATTTAGCTACTGCACGTGCAGAGACATTCGTACATGACTAGCGGTAGGCACTTGTCTGCCTGTTTGTTTCCATCGAGCAGTTAATTTGCACACAATGGAGTATGTGGCGGCTTTTTGCGCCGTAGAGCTGCGTATTTCTGGAGCGTTGCGCGGCCCGCGCGGTGGCAGTCACGCACGCACCTCCGCGCCGGTGTTGATACGGTGGGAGAATGGGGTCGGCGGGAGGATTCACCTGCTTGTCAGGCACGCGCGCCGCTGACGGGCAAATAATGACCGAAAAGGTACTTACATAGGCACGATCCTCACAGGACAGGCTGTTGGTTATTTCTGGGGTTGCTCGTAAGCACGCACCTCGTACTTTTTTCCTTAATTTACCCCCCCCCCCGCCCTCCTTCCCCATACGTTTTATCGTTGTGATTAGTTAATGCTACCGGCAACGGCTGCAAATTAGCATCGTGATCTTATTCCCGATTTCCTTTGTGTTTGTTTTAGTTGCTCGTCCATTCCAGCAAGCTTGTCCCAGTACATCTCTCCTTGGTTCCCGTCTTCACGCAGTGATCTGCCCGACCTGGCATGTTGTAACCCCTCCCCTGCCGTCTTCTGTTCCGCAGTTATCCCCGGACGGCCGCGATGACGGCCCATAACCCTCCCCCGCCGTCGTCTGTCTCGCAGTTATCCCCGGACGGCCGCGATGACGGCCCACAACCCTCCCATAACCCTCCCCTGCCGTCGTCTGTCTCGCAGCTGTCCCCGGACGGCCGCGATGACGCGTCTCAGTCTGAGTTCCTGGGAGTTCGCGCCGCCCTGGAGGAGCAGACCGATCTCGGCTTGCACATCAACGAAAAGTAAGACGCCATGTGGGAGGACGAAGGAAACGGATTTGGACGTTACGTTGGATAATTTTCTTGGTCGAGTGATTACTATAAGACTTGTTTGAGTCTGACTGTTTTACAATCTGTACAAAGTTCTCCGAGGGTACTTTTTCGAAATTGCGACTTCCTGGAGCACCGACCCCCCAATAACATTTTTTTTTTTGACTGCCCGGTTTATTTCCCATCGCTGATCGCTGCTCGGTGACCATTGATTGCTACCAGCGCTGTTCAACCCCTGTAACTGTAACCCCTGTCTCGTCCCATCTCCTCCCGCAGGGGTAACCAGATATGTCAGCTGCGCTGGGCCGACTTCAGCCAGCGCGTGCCGTCCCACTGGACCGAGCGGCACCCGAACGTGTGTCCCCTCTGCAAGAAGAAGCTCAGCTCGCGCTTCTCGCTGTCCCGACACTACATCGACGTCCATCACAGGTGGGGAGGGAGGCTGGGGCGAGGCCGGGAGAACTACTCGGGATGGAGTTCTATGGCCTTGCTCGGGACGAGTATAGTCGGAAGGGAAGATAGATAGTTATATCTATTGTGTGTTTTGTGATGTGTGACTTTTTTTTGGGGGGGGGGGGGAGCTGGAGATCGTTTCATCGAAGTCTTTCTTTCTCAGTGATTTAAGGCATGCTTTTCTTCATAAATATTTCCCTACAGTATATTTTAATATAAATCACAATGATAATGCAGTACCTTTACTGGGTCTGAGACTACACTTATGCTAAGGCACTGCATACCCTAGCTCTCTGGCATGCCAATTATTATTCATCTCTGCCGTCCGTTTCTTTTTTCAGGGAGGAGAAGAAACTCCCGACGCCGGCGCCGTGCCGCTTCTGCTCCAAGATCCTGTACAACCAGTCCACGCTGAACCGACACGTGCTGACCGTACACAAGGAGGAGGCGCTGGCGCTAGCGGCGGCGGTCGGCACGGGTCGGGGGGCGGCCGCCGCCGCCGCCCCCGCCCCGGCCGCTGACCCGAGCCCGCCGCCAGCGCCCCTCTCCACTGGCTACTACTGCGCACTGTGTCAGCAGCGGCACCGGCGCAAATCGGAGGTCACCCGGCACATGCAGCTGCTGAAACTACAGAGCCCCAAGGGTGCGACACGGACCGGGCTGGCGCCGAAAATACAGAGCCCGAGAGCGGGGCGGTCGAGCACCGCAGCTAGGCAGGCCAGCGCTGGTGAGTGAGGATTTGGGGTGGGTATATGTCCGCCGGAGGTTGGTAGCAGAGGTGTTTTATGATGCACGTATTTTACCAGTAATGCTTTGTTGTGGTTCATGATACCTACTATGATACGTCAATACAAAATTGACACCAAATTTACAAGATGGACAACCCAAGCACACAATTTGGCGACTCTAACATACCTAATGCAACTTCATTTCTTCCAAGTTTTTTCCTATACAAGGCTGTTAAACTGTCATTCTCTATTGTTGATACCATGGAGTACTGGCATTGTTCGCTGTATTCCAGGTGCGGCGGAGGACTCTGTGTCTGCCGAGGAAGGCAGCTCTGCTCCGGAGACCTCCAACGGTCCGCTCATCTCACCGGCGCTCACCGCACTCTCACGGGAACTCACGGTGAGTCTCTTACACTTGTCTTACCGTCTCTTGACAAAATAACCGTAAGGCTTTGGGCTGTTATAGCAGTGTAATTCACAAAACTCGCAACGCAATCAAGCAGATGATCTTTTAATGCAAGATATTTACTGTCTACCGGGGCCGGGTGGCAAGTGAACAGTAGCTATGTGATGTGACATTGTTGTTTTTACGTGAGCGTTGGTAGGAATGACTGTTGAACACGACTTCATTGTATTACAGACCACGGCGCCGTTTCCCTGTTCAGTCTGCAGCCGAACGTTTTCGGATCAGGAGCGTCTGATCGCTCACCTGGCGAGTCACCTCAGGGATAATCATTCAGGTAATACACACCAGACAGATGAGGGGTAATCCCACAGGTAATACTCACCTCACCTGGCCAGTCACCTCAGGGATAATCACACAGGTAACTACACTTACCTCATATTCTGGCTGAGAATGGTACAGTGTTCACATCACCAGGTAATGCCACATTTTGGAAGCAATGCAGCCTTCACCTCATCTGGGGAAACTTACACACAGTTCCAGCAGTTCCAGTTCCAGCCTCACCTAAGTGAGGTTGTGCGTGCACCTCTGCCGTCCTCTGACCTCCCGCCGCTTGTCGTTCTCAGACTCGGCGCCGTCGGGTCTGTGTCCGCTCTGTGAGCTGACCGTCCCCCAGCTGGCCAGCCACGTCCGGGACGCGCACTGCCGAGTCTGCGCCCGCTGCGGACTCATACTACCTGAGGCGCTCATGGAGCGGCACCTCACCGCGCACGATCTCAAGGTACGGGTGGGACTGTGAGTTGTGGCCTCACGTAATGCAAGCAGTAAAGACCCGGAGTACTGAAAAATAGCTGAATACCCCTAAAGAACATGTGCTGCTATCGTGGTTCTGAAAACTAGCTACGTGCGTTTTGGAGTGATTTCAGGCTGTGTTTCGTTGCGTTGCGTCGCATGAAAAGTCCCTTTCAGTGACACCAGGTACTAGCTCACTCGGCGTTAAATGTAATTATTCCAGACATCAGATCAATTCTCCACCCACCCCGTCCCGTTCTGACAGTCTGTCCCGCCCGCCGCCAGATGGCCTTCTGGTGCCCAGTGTGTGGCCAGCGGTCAGTGTGCGGTACCCGATAAATGTGATATAACTCGGAACACCTCCGTCCTAACAGTCTGCCCCGCCCGCCGCCAGATGGCCTTCTGGTGCCCGGTGTGCGGCCAGCGCGAGGACCGACGACAGAAGATGATGCAGCACATCAGCGAGCGCCACGAGTACATCGCCGAGGGCTCTCAGTTCCAGTGCGGCTCCTGCGGCCACGTGCGGTCCCACAACCTAGTCACTCACTGCCTGAAACACGCCCGCGACGACGCGCTCACCGCCTACTGGTTCAAAACCGACGGTGAGTTGGGGGTCAGAGTTGAGATGGTGCTCATCGCAGTGGTTAGAATATCGCAGTGGAGACTGAATTTGGCAGCACCTGAACAATTCCTGGTGTCAGATAGAGTTGGTGTACCTACCTATGTGCCGAATGTGGAATTCTCGTGGCGGCATGCTGGTAACTTGTAAGCGACCATGTTCACACATGTGTACAATTCTACGTTTCTAAAGAAGTGGTAGGACGTTTGTCAGCCTCCCCACCCATCTCTAACTCTCCTCTTCCCTCTGTCTCCCTCAGTTCTGTCTCCGCTGGAGCAGCGCGGCCTGGAGGCCGGCCGACTGCTCCGCTCGTCCTCTGACGACTCGTCGCTGCAGTGGCTGCCGGTGGCCGCCGCCGAGCCTGCCGCCGCCGCCGTCGCCTCCGGTCTCAGCGTGCACCTGCTGCAGGCCTGTGACGGCGTGCCGGGCGCCGGACTGGACGCGGCCGCGCTCCTCTCGGCCGCGCTGTGTCCCGTGTGCGCGGCGCCCACCCCGTCGGGCCGCCAGCTGGGTGCCCACCTGCAGCGGCACGGCGAGCTGCCGGTGCTCTTCTGTCCCAGCTGCCCGCGCACCTTCTGCCGGCCGGAGCGGGCGCGCCGCCACCGCTGCGGCCGGCTGCTCTGCCTGCTCTGCGGCCTGCAGGTGCCCTCGGCGGTGGTGGCCGCTCACTGGACGCTGCACGCTGGTGACGACCCGATCTGTGCGCTGCTGACCCCACAGACGGAGCGAGGGGACGGAGAGGGGTCGGCAGAGAGTGACGAGGAGCCTCCTTGCGGTCTGCTGGAGCGGCAGCTGGCCAGGCAGCTGGCGGGCATCAAACAGGAGCCGCTGGATGTGGAGGACGGGGAGGACGGAATGGGAGAGGTGCCCGGGGAGGAGGAGTTTGAGGAGGGCGAGGACGGCGGCGGGGTTGGTGAGGATGGTGGCAGTGCCGCTGGTAGTATCGTTGGTGATGATGGTGCCGCCGGCGCTGACGGCGAAGGTGGTAAGAATGGTGATGATGATAGGGAGGAGGGTGGTGATGGAAAAGATGGAAGCAGTGAGAATGAAAATGGTCTTGATGTCGGGACGAAGACGGGCGAGGAAGTGGAAAGGCAGAACGAAACTAAGGAGTGTAGCGACGGAGACGGGAAACATCGTGAAGAAGAAGATCTAGATCGTAATGTGGGAAGGGACCTTGATAAGAGGAAAGAATTAGATCGTGACGGAGAGAAGGAGCTTGATAAAGGGAAAGAAGTAGATCCTGCCGAGGAGCGGGAAAATAGCGACAGGGAAGAATTAGCTGGTGGTGCAGACAAAAACACTTATAACAGTCATGACGGTGAAAAGTGCGATGAACCTGAGAAGGGGAATCCTGAGGCAAACAATGGCAATGGCCTAGAGAACGATGGTAGCTTAAAAGCAAACGGTGCACCACCTGATTCGAAGGAGTCTGGTGAGAAGCCTGCACTGACGAACGGAGTGGCGGAGGAGCAGAACGGTCGCGACGGCCGTCAGCTCCGATGTCGGCATAGGAAGCGATCTCTGGATGAATGTCATAAACCCTCACCAAAGGATGGCCGTGAGTCGACGGAGTCGACCGCTGTGAATCAGAACAACGTCAGTGATGAATCTAGTCAGTCGGAGAAAACTCCGGCGGAGGACCCTCCCAAGGAGTGGGCTTCGTTGGGTTTTCCTGCGGCGGACGCCGCTGAGGGTGACACCCCGGTGCGGGAGGCGCGCTCCGAGCGCCGCTCGCCGCCCCGCAAACGCCGCCGCTCGCTGTCTGCGGACGGCAGCGCCGGCGGCGGCTCCCCTAGTCCCGGCGGCCGCGCCGAGCGCCGCTCGCCGCCGGCCACATTCCGTCCGGAGGAGGGTGGCGCCGAGTCGCCCGAGTCGGACTCCGAGTCTGAGTCTCTGGCCTGCGACCTGTGCCCGCGCCGACTGCGCTCCGTGTCTCAGCTGCGCCGTCACCGGCTGTACCGGCACGGCGAGTGGCGCGGCCCGCTGCGCTGCCCCCGCTGTCCGCGCCGCTTCTTCCTGGCCGCCCACCGGCGGCTGCACGCCTGCGCCGGCGAGGACGCGGCGGGCGGCGCGCGGCCCTGCTGCGGCCGCTGCGGCGCCGAGCCGGCCGCCGGCCGCCCGGCCTGCCTGGTCTCGGCGGCCGGTCGGCGGCTGCGACTCACCGTCTGTGCGCGCTGCGACTGCCCGCTGCCCGGTCCGGACAGCAGCGGCTCGGACAGCTCTGACCGCGCCGGCCGGGACGGCCAGGTGTCGCCGCCGCCGTCCCTGCCCGGCGCCGCCGTCTGCTGCGAGTGTGACGCGCCGCTGGCGGCCGGCGCCGCCGCCCTGCTCCAGGAGGAGGGCGCCGCCGAGACCCCGGGCCCGGCGGCGGCGCGGCTCTGCGTGCCCTGCGCCGAGCAGCGGCTGGCTGCCGAGCCGCGGCTGGCAGCGCGCCTGTGGCGGCCCGAGGCCACGCTGGGCGCTCTATGGTGTCCGTCCTGCTGCCAGCCCCAGGTCTCCCTCCACCAGCTGCGGCTGCACAGTCTGCGGCAGCACGCCGATGTCATGTAGGCGCCCGTGGTGACGTCATGTGCGCGTCGGTCGCAGTCTGGTGTGACGTCATCCATCAGTGTCTGAGCTTGCCAGAGTAGTTTGAGATTGGCTGTCGGAAGTGTCTGTACGGAGAGGCACAGTGAGCGACACTGCCGGGGTTCAGAACGGGTGCAGCAAGCTTCGTTGTCCTTGTAGTGCGCGCCGCGCCGTCGTCAGGCAGCTAGAAGTCAGGTGAACCGCTGTATAACGTAGTCTGTAGCGGAACTGGCGTGCGTCGCTTGTTCCTGTGTATGAGAGTGATGATCGGACGCCCCTCGCGACGGGCATTCCCAATACTGCTGAATCGCGCTGCAATCAACACGCTTTATAAGTTAACCAAACACGCTTCGTTATCGTCACGCTGTGTGTGTGTGTGTGTCGTACTTTGTCACGTGTCAGTTATTTGCTCATATTTGTTGGACATTGGCGTTATTTTATTATCCGTTGCACCTTTTATATCAGCTCGTTTATAGGAACCCAGCGGCAATCTCGTTTGGTTAACTGTAGCGCTTGTGCTATGAATCTGACTAGGGAGCTAAGCGCTCGACATTCTACTCCAATGTTGTGTTAACTTCCTCGCCTAGATAGTACAGTGATGTGTGAGAGCCAGTGTCATCCAGGATCCAACGGGACTGGAATTTTTCAAAGCCATTGTTTGTTGTCTTGCAATATGACTGTAGCAAGCTTTTTGTATTTGTCGCCTGCTTAGGACAGTTATGACGTTGATTTTCAAAACTCCAGCCGTGAAAAATGAAGTGTTTATTAACGCAACTGTCACAAGCCAGCCGTTTAGCAGATACCGAGGCAACTGAGGTAGAATATGCGGATGTAAAATCTAAAATTTGCCACTCCCACGAGATCTACCACGCTAGAATTACAGCCGAAAGTTTGCGGCGCGACTTGCGGCGCGACCCGCGTACCAAATCGCTCACCAGGCAGACATGGCGTACCCGCCCCCACTACACGCCCGTCACAATGTTCGTCCCATCGGCGCCTCTCAGACGGTCCTCTCCAGACTAACCCGGCCTTCGAGTAGAGCCTCCACCCTGTCCCAGCGGCTCTGATCAGACGGTCCTCTCCAGGCTGACCCTGCCGGCCAGCAGCGCCTCCACCCTGTCCCAGCGGCTCTGATCAGACGGTCCTCTCCAGACTGACCCTGCCGGCCAGCAGCGCCTCCACCCTGTCCCTCTGTCTGCGGGTGAGCGGGTCCGGCGGCGGCGGACCGACCAGGGGCAGATCCAGCACGAACAGCCGGCACCGAGTGGCCTCCAGAGCCGACGGCTGACCGGCCTCCAGGCGCGCCGCCTGCCGGTCCCAGGCCGCCTGCCAGCGCCGCCGGGACTGCCGCAGGCGCCTGGGGGCAGCGGGAGGCAGGTACGGAAGAGTGACGCGAGCTAGTTATAAATGGAACGCATTGGTAGTGCGAGTGGCGGATGGAGCAGCTGTTCTTGGGTGGCTTGAGCTCTAGCACTATGAAAGCTGTCGGCTGCTCAATGTTAGCGTGGAAAGGCGTTTTGTATTTGTTGTCAGCTTTCTTGCAGTCTGTTCTGTCAATCAATCAGTTATCTAACATGCTAGTTCTCGTCTCCCTATGTTCAATCACTCGGTGATGAGCTTCGCAATTCGCTCACCTGACGGCGCTGCTGTCGCCGGACGGAGGATCGCGCCCCATCCGGACACCCAGCCGAGGTGGTGCTGAGACGACAGTGTTACGGGAGAGGACAAGCCTCCGGTACTCAGAGCTGTCTACCGTCGTTCACCAGTCGTCCTCCCTTCCAGCGCCACAGAGAGTGAGTGGAACAAACGTCCAGCGCCACACTGAGTGAGTGGAACAAACGGCGTGGGTATCGACCAAACGGCTGTTGGGCCGCGCCCCCTGGCGGTCAGTAAAAGAGGTGGGGATGGGATGCATGCCAGAAAACAGTAGCTAGTCATAGGCTGGATTCGTAAGAATAGCAAGTGTTTGAAATTGGCAGTACTTAATGCAGACCTCTCGTAGACTGAAGACTAGATGCTGACAGGATGATTCCTGGCCAGCACCGATAGATGGCGTTCAGGTATGCTCAACTCAGCACCTGCCAGCCCTCCGTAGGTGGCAGCACAGGTACCCTGTCAGAGCGAGACCAGTTCCTGGACCGCTCCAGCCGGCAAAACTGGTTTTATCAGCCCAGCGAGGCCTGCCGTCGACGGTATCAGCTTTTTGGCCCGGTTCCATAAAAAGCATTACGGTTTACGTAGACAAGGTCATCTACTATTGCGCTTTTGTTTCTCTGCTATCATACGTTTGAAAAAGGTTTTGATTTTGCATTGCATGGAATAGCTTGCCGCTTTGCAAGTGAGAACATCCTTTAAAGCTCTCGCATACCTGCCACCTGTCCTTTTAAGCCTTAACCCATCCGGTGACCCTACCAGGCAGCCACTAGGAGACACCAGAAAGGAGCTCACTCAGGGGTGACAGTGTCCGGTTAGCCTGTCCCACCGGGATACCACCGTCCAACTGTAACGGCTCGGCTCAGCCACAGCGGCGCACCAGCTAGGAAGTCCCTGTGCACTTGCAGTCAATGCAGGTAAATAGCTAACACACTCCAATCCATGTGGTTCGTACCATATGCACTGTGTGCTATCTCCAGGTGCCTGTCTGTGGGGCCAGGCCCGGGTCCCCGGGTCTCCATCCGCCCTGCAGTTCGCGTGTCTTCCATCACCCGGCGTCGGGGCGGTTTTTACCGGGCGCCCGCCCCTCCTATCGGCACAGCTCCGTGTCGGCATACCCCGGATCACTAGCATCTTAGCGTGCCGGAGAGGCTTCGAAGGATGCCTTTGTTTTTTCCAAGGAGGCGCCCACTTTATCATCTCAGTATCGGAGTAATTATGCATGTGAATTGGATGTTGAATCAAACCGGGCGGTGGGAAAATGAAAGTTGTCTGTTGACGAGCAATTTTCCTGAATTCCTATCTCGTTTTTTGCCGAATGCAAGCTCTCATGCGGGAGATACGCTTACATCCATAGCCCAATGCGTCATGCCACTCCATTGAGCGCACGCTAACTCAAACAAGGCGATACAATGTACAAATGTATTAATAAAATCGCTTTTGGCATTGCATTTTCCATATACTCTCATTCCGTCTCTCTCGTTCTCTCACAAAACAGCACCAGTTTGTACAACAAAATAGTGAACAATACAGTATGTTTAGCCTCGTCAGAGGTACGAGCGCACGGGCACGCTGAGTAAGGCTCACCATTGGACACATAGCTGCACCGGTCACTGATCACACCGAGACGGCGACGCTCCCGGCTCCGCGGGCGCCCCGGGACCAGGGGCGCCGCCGGCGGCCGGTCGGCGCGAGCGGGGCAGCGCCCGGTCTCACCCGCGCGCGGCACCAACGTCTGCGTCACTTTCTGCAAAGGACGCAGAGTTGTCTCAACTCGCGCGTGCTGTGGTGAGTGGTGGTGCTTCGGACCGCGGCGCTGGCTCCGCGACTCGCTCCGTTCGGCCGGCCGGCTGGCCCGCTGTGGGGGCGCCGTGTCGGAGCGCGGGGCGCCGCTCTCGGGCGCGGGACGGGCGGCCGGCGCCGGTAAGCCGAGCTGGCACTGGGCAGGTCGGGTCGGCTGGCCGGCGTCGCGGCCGCCCGGGAGGCGGCGGCCGGCCCTCTCCGCCGCCTCGGAGCCTGCCGAGGCGCGGCAGGACCGGCCGCCAGAAACACAGCCCACACGACTTCACTTGGCGACTAGCTCTCGGCGGCGGGACGGGGGCCGCCCGGCACAGGGCGCCGGCGCCGGGCGGCGGCGGCTCGTGCGCGCGCCGGCGCCAAGTGAGGCGTGTGGCGCGGCTCGGGCTGCGTTTGGCACTGGCGCCGCGCCGGCGGCGGACGACGCGGCTGGAATGTGTGTGGAGCGGCGAGCGGCGGGTCGCCAGCGACCGCGACTCACGGACGGCATCGGCACATGACGCGCTCAGACGACCGCCTGCCGGCACAGACACGGGCCACAGGTCAGACGACGGACAGGGAAACATACCGATGGACGGATGAGCCAACCTAGACCTGATGGTGGCATCTAGCAAGGGTGACGGACTTAAACATGAGCGCAAATGCCTCCACTTTACTCAGTTAATAACTGGCCGACTTGTCATGCATGCCTAGGGTTGGCCTATGAGTCCATGACATTACAATATGCATCGATTTCACTTCAGCAAATTCATTTCTACCCATCTACCCCAATCACACATGCCAATAGAACACATTCTGACAACCGTTTACCAGCATCTCACACCAGTCACGACATATGTCATCACTCCAAACCCTCCTCGAGTCCATCTGACACTTGTCTGACACTCGGGCTGATACCGTATGACGACACAGAGTGACGACACACTGCCAGGTGTGCCTGGTCGGGACAGGTTGGAGCGGACCTCCATGGACCATATGGCACGGTCAGAGTCCTCCCGGAGGCAGTTAGAGAGAGGGGTGAGCGAGAGAGAGCGAGAGAGAGAGAGAGAGAGAGAGAGAGAGAGAGAGAGAGAGAGAGAGAGAGAGAGAGAGAGAGAGAGAGAGAGAGGGTGAGAGAAGGATTCCAGTGTGCGACATATGCCTGTCGTGGCACGAGACCGGTCGAAGGGACCGCTCGGGTGTGAAGTTTGGGAAAGGCTGTGGGTTCGCCATAACATCTGTCAGCAGAGTTGAGGGGTTATGGAGAATGGAACATGGCCGGAATGTGTAAGTGTGGAGTGCCCAATAGTGGATGTCATTGTCGATCTACAAGCCGTGCAAAGTTTATGAAGCGCAACCGAGTGTTGCATTATGTGCACGATTTTGAACACGACGGGGTTCTCAGGTAAAACAAGTCACCAGTCACAACACCTAAGATAATTCAATACAGAATCTTTCATTACAACGCTCACAACACAACGCAGCACACACGATCATTATGGGTATTGGGTGGCATCACATTTTGACACTGCTAATTTTACCTAAACCATCTCTATTCCCTCGCCCCCCCCCCCCCATCCCTTCTGACCCCACCACGCCCCACCTGGCGCTCACCTCTGCGGTCGTTCAGTCGCCCCTGAGCAACTCAAACAGGATATCGAAGGTGGGGCCGCCGTCTGTGCTGGCCCGCGCCGCGATCAGCTCCTTGCCCAGCTGGCAGGCGCGCTCCACATCCGGGATGCGTAGCAGCAGCTCGCCGAACTTGCTGGGCATGTCGGCCGAGTGGGACATGGTGTACTGCTGCAGCGCGTGCAGCACCTGCTCCCGCGTGGTGGACACCTTCTGCGGCTCCTTCAGCGACGACGAGTCTGCCAGGGAGAGCGGAGGGCGGTGTCAGGTGGTGGAGAGAGACTCGGAGCGGGGGCGCAAGGGGTTGGTGGAGGGAAGTAACAGACAGTGAACAGAGAACAAACATACACGTGTAACCTCCGAATGGCGTGTATTCGGCCACGGTGCTCAGCAGAATATACATGATTTCGTTACGGGGTACGGCTATAATCGCTCAAGAAATGCACATTTTATAAGTCAGGATCAAATTTCCTTCATTCTCTCGCTTTAATTGCATTGCATTGTGTTTGAACGGTTCCATCGAGCCGACAAGACTGAATGAAATAACAAGAAACGGTCATCGGTCAATACCCCATCTCCAAACAGGCATGTCAGCAGAGTCAGCAGTTGTCTCTGACAGCGGTCATCGAC